ATGTTCGATTGAACTAACGTTTTGCAATTTTCTTTTTCCTCAACAGCGTGCTGAGAAGGTAAGTTGCAGGCGTTTGACAAACTGAACGTTTAAAGTTTCTTTTTAGTCTCGTCGTTGCTCGCTTTTGTAACTTAACATTAATTCACGTTTTCAGGCTGTTAAATTCTTCCACGGTAAGTCTCCTGCAATTTTGAATGTGGCCTAATGTTCGTTTTTTCTTCTTCTTTCCAGCATGCTGAGAAGGTAGGTTGCTAGCGTTTGTATTTCCACAATTTGAATGAGACTCTGCTCTTACTAGGTTGTAATTGTGTCATTTCTGTCCACAGGCTTCCATCTAGAAGCGAATGGCCAAACTGACTCTTACAAAAAGCTTTTGGAGACTTCTTTTAAGGGGGGTGGGCGGGGGGCTGTTTCCATGAGCTTACCAAATGTCATGTTGCTAACTATTTCTTTCTTTTCAGCCCACCCAGCATGCTGCAGGCCACTGCCAAAGTGTTCAGCTCAGCCCTGCTCTCGTCACTGGTGAGACAAAAACACTCATGCGCATACAATCATGCTTATGTCATGTTTTAATGTGTTTCAGCAAATGGTGAAGACTTCCAGTGATGACCTATTCAGATGGGAACGCGCAACAAACAAATGTCACAAGTTAGTGCTGTACCCGACCTTACTGTTCAATGCACTCTCGAGACTGCTTGAAAAAGCAAGTTGACACTCTGGCCTCAAGTTGCTGTTTTGCTCCTGGAAGAGACTGAAGGACAGTGTGGACATTGTAAATGACTTGCATTCACTATTCCTGACATTTTATTTTGTGTGCTTTTGTGCGCAGTTGAACGGCATCTTGACTTCATCCAGAACTGCCTCAGGAACAAGACAGCGGGGAAAGAGGCTGGCCACTGCTGGGTTTGAGCACGCTGCAAAACAAAATGGCTGACGTGAACTTTGTTTAACACCTATTTTTTCTTTTGCAGTTCCCCCAAAATCTGCACAGAGGCGAGTCTCTCTGGACCGCTGGTTTGAGCACACTGCAAAACAAAATGGCTGCTGCAAACATTTTTTTTTAACCAATTTCTCTTTTGCAGCTCCCCCAAAGCTGCACTGGGACGAGTGTCTCTCGGGGCCGTCAAAAAGGTAACTTTACCATTCTGTGCTTGGAGACTTACTTTTTTCTTCCTGCTTCTAGCCAACAGGTGGCGACAAAACATCTCTTGCCCCCCCCCCAGAACTTGGCGTGGACGGGCCCAAAAAGTACCTTAGATCTTTTTATCCACTGATGCTGCTGTTGGAAAAGACTGGTTTAAAAAAAAAAAAAAAAAAACCTGACTGGTTGTTGTTGTAGGTGGTGGAGGAAACGTTGCGTCATTATCAACGTTCTTTAAGATGACCCAAAATGCTGACAAGCTTTAAAACATTTTTTTTTTTTTTTTTTGACTGCAGAGAGGCTTCCAGTTAAAGTGCCATGGTGGACTCTGCACCCTGACCACCAAGACGCCGGGCAGAGAAAATTTCTACATTGCAACTGAAATCTTGACGCACATTCAATAAATCAAAGTCCAATTGAAAGCTTGGGTGGTCCATTGCTTACCTCCTGTTTGTGTTTAGGCTTGTCCACTGTGGAGCCCTCTGAAGCGGTTGCATTTTTTTTTTTTTTTTTGGCCGGAAGGTGGCAGACTTTGGGAGAAGAGGAATTGGAGAAGTTGGCGCTGGTGGCAGTGGGTTTCATCTCCAACAGAATCCATGCCGAGTGAATGTTGTGACTCGTGTCTTGCTGTTTTCCAGAAGTGATGTCACGCTGCCTAAGGAAACTGTCCGCCTGGGTCTTTTCTCCCCCCGGTCTGCGATGTGACATGCAACCTGCAAGTGAAGTAAACGGTCATGGCGACAAAATGTGGTCGCACGAAATACATTTTTGATTGTGAGGCTCTTTGCTTACTCTGTACCTTGCTTCTGTTTCGTCAGCTGGAGGATGCCATCCAGGAGAGGCTGAAGCAAACGTTGGAGCAGTCCGCCAACAAGCTACGATTCCTGCAGAAGACCTCACAGGTGCTCTTCCTCGCTGGGAGTCATCGTGTCTCAAATTTGCTGCACCAGAAATGCACTGTAACTCTGTCCTTTTTTCTTAGGTCCACTTCACCAGGCAGTGACTGTCGTCCAACACTTGGCTTGATCCCATCGGCTTGAACAAGTTCCTCAGTCTGCAGTAAGCGTTGAATGCTCGAAACTCCAGCCTTCTCAATGCCGTCTTTGATCCAATATTGTTTGTTTCCAGGTGCTGAGCCAAACTGTGATTGTCCTGCTCATGCAGCTGTGCGAGCACTTGGTCCGAGTCCCAGAACACCGACGTCTCATCACCCTCTGCTGGTTGGTTTTATCACATTACATTTGCTGCACAAGAAGGTGACTTTGAACTCACCAATGGCGTTTTTGTCTTAGGTCCACATGCTGCTCCACTTCTGCTGCCACAGGCTGAAGACATCAACAGGCTGGCAACAAAAAGCAGAAAGCCAACAAGTCATCTAACTTGTAAGTTGTTTTTTTTTTTTTTTCCTAACTTGTTTTTTTTTTTTTTTAACCTTTTTTTAACTTTTTTTTTTTTTTTTAAACACTTTTTTTTAAACACTTTTTTTTAAACACTTTTTTTCTTAACTTGTATTCTTTGAAAAAAAAAATAAAAACATTAAAAAAAAAACTTGTCTGAACTTTTCTTCACAAATGAAAACATTCCTCCGAAAATAAAAGTGGGTGGGGTGAGGAGGAAGTGGGTGTGGCTATGCAAATCAATGACCAGCAAGCGATCTGATTGGTGGGCTCCCAGATATATGGGTGTGGCTATGCAAATATTGAGGCAGGCAGCAATTTGATTGGTTGGTTGGAAGAGTGGGTGGGGTCATGCTAAATTAACATAGGGGGTGTGGTTATGTAAAACGACAGGTATGCAGCTCTCTGATTGGTCGATTTGTTTTAGAATGGGCGGGGTTACGCAAATTTTTCAGCATACTGCATTCTGATTGGCTGAGTTTGAGTGGGAGGAGTCATGCTAATCAGCATGGAATCTGACTAATTAACGTAGTGGGCAGGGTTATGCAAAGTGCGCAGAACTGAGCTCACCGATTGGTTGATTTGGTTGATGGTGGGCGTGGTCATGCAAATTAATTTGCATGTCGGGTTTTGATTGGCTGTGCCCGAGATTGGGCGGAGCCCCACCAGCTATTAGCATACATTCCTCTAAATTAACATAATGGGCGTGGTTATGCAAAGCGCCAGGTGGTTGCAGCGCCCTGATTGGTCAGTTTCGGTCGGAATGGGCGTGGTTAGGCAAATTAATTAGCATACATCGCTCTGATTGGCTGGATTTTGAAATGGGCGGAGTCACGTCGCACATTTGCATAGATACCGGTAAATTAGCATAGTCGGTGTGGTTATGTAAATCATTTGGATTTTTGGGTGGGCGGGGCTACGCAATTTAATTTTGCATGCCACGTTCTGATTGGTCTTTCCCTTGATGGGCGGGGCTTCTTTTCCCATTTTTCAGGGCCCCACATGAATGGCGACTGGTTTTCTGGAAGACGTTCGGCCTCTCGTCCGAGCAGACTTCTTCGATCGATGCTCAAGGCCAGAAAGGGCGAGCTGTCCTTTCTGGCGTTTGCGCACGAACCGAGGAAGCCTGCTCGGATGAGAGGCCAGACGTCTTCCAGAACAACCCCAACAAGTCCAATTGCCATCCATAACAGGGCCATTTCAAACTCGGTGAGCAACGAAACATGGAGACTCCAATGGAACAATATATTGATTGACAAGCATTTATTTTTTTCAACAATGTCTCATCATTTTACCAACAAAGCTTGACTAAAGTTCCACACCGACACAAACTGACAGGCAGTACATTGAAACCAGCAGCAGAGGACCCCGTGCTGTCTGCTTGAGGAAGCATGGACTGCACAGCACTGACACACGTGGAGGCAGGCAACAACATCACTCACCGCTTCTGAACATGTGCTTTGGAGAAAATGCAATATTTTCAACAATTTGGGAAAGCACAAGTTCAGAAGCGTTGAGTGATGCGTGCGCATGTGTCATCCAGTCCATGAAACTAAGGTGAAAGTGCACTGAAGTGACATCACACACCTCCTCAAGCACAAAAATTGGCGCTCTCTGCTGCTGCTTTCTTGAACAAGTGGTCAGCCAGTGTTGTTTGTCTCACTTAAGTCACACACAAACATTTTGTCGCTGTCATGTGAAAATCACAGATGTCCATTTTTGTCTTTTGAATTATTTTTTTTTCGTTCAGACAACCGATCAATGTAAAACATTTGAAATTCGCAAAATGGACATCTGTGTTTTTCACATGACAGCGACAAATTTGTCAAAACCTGCTCCGACTGACCTAAAATTTGAGATTTTTGTGTTGTGCCACCACTATCAGCAATTGCACCAAGTTTCATTCAAATCAAAATCTGCTTGGTTCAGTTTTTTGAGTGATGAAATGCCTTAGTGGCACATCACACACCTCCTCCAGCACAAAAATTGGTGCTTTCCGCTGCTGCTTTCTTGTACAGCCTGTCAGCCAGTGTTGTATGTGTCACTCAAGTCACACACAAACATTTTGTCGCTGTCGTGTGCAAATCACAGATGTCCATTTTTGTCTTTTGAAAATATTTTTGTCGTTCAGACAACCGATCAATGTAAAACATTTTAAACTGACAAAATGGACATCTGTGTTTTTCACAGGACAGCGACAAATTTGTCAAATCCTGCTCCGACTGACCTAAAATTTGAGATTTAGTGTTCTGACACCCCTATCAACAATTGCAGCAAGTTTCAATCAAATCAAAATCTGCTTGGTTCAATTTTGGGAGTGATCAAATGCCTAAGTGGCACCACACACACCTCCTCAAGCAGACAGCAAGCTGTCCTCTGCCTCCAAAAATGCACACACCTTTCCAAAAGCAGGTTTCCATCATTGTAGTGCAGATCCACCCATGTGCTGAACACTTGAGTCTGCGGCAGCAGTGTTCATCCCTCCTCCAGCCTGTCAGGGAAACGAACGCAGAAGCGACGAGTGAGGTCATTTGCATACGCGTTGGGCAAATTTGCATAAATCGGCCCGGCTTTGCCAAACAACACCCTCAAAGTATGCCAACACTCGCAATTGCCTGTCACTCATTATGACATTTAATGTTATTTTTATTTTTACGACGGGCCGTCAATTCATTCTTTTCAACAAAAAAGAAGGACTCGCATTATGTCTCGTGAGATTGTGGAAACGAACCGAACGTTTTGGTCTATTCGCACTACCACGCTAAATGGAAGACAATGTTTCTTTTTTAACATTAAAATGTTCTTTTCGAGGGCATCCGGTGAAAACGAGAAAAAGTTAAACATGCCTTACCTTGGCACAAGTCGCCACTTTTTCGCGTAGACTGACAGCAACCGACGTTGAGACAACATTCCTTCTTTGTGGTCGTCTAGTGCGCATGTAAACAATACAAAAAAAAACGCCTTACTTGGCGCTAACGTCGTTAAACTAACTCAGCTCACGTGTTCGAATCGGGCAAAACAACATTAGCAAACAAGACGTCAAGACAAGCTAAGGCTCGTTTCCGTTTCCGCTTCCTGTTTATGTGTTTGGGTCACACTCACCAACACCAACGACGCCAGGACGGACTGCACAGCAAAGAGCCACAAAACAAAAAAAATAAGAAAAAAAAAGACGGAATCGTGCTGGGAAAATGTTGAGTACAATGTTGTTACTTACAAAATATGGTTCTCCTGAACGCTGTCAGCCCAGAAGTCATCAAGGTCCAAGTCTCCGCAGGACACAAATGATTCCTTGATAAATGTCCAAAGTTGAACTTGCTTGTTGGAGGAAATGAGTCAAAGTGCTTCGCCTGGTTAAAACGGCCAAGTTAAAACACCGCTTGTGTGCGTGCGTTTGTTCTCAACAGTCTGAACGTCTATGAACGTTTGTTGTCGTCACCGTTGTTTTGTTAAAATTTTGACAAGCATGTGAATGACTGTCGTTCAGGAATTCTTTCTTTGAATTGACATTAACACACATTGAAACAGTGTCTTTATAGTGTATTCCCCATTGAGTTGTTTCCCTGTTTGTGTTCGTACGCCCTCTAGTGGTGATTATTCGCACCAGCCAATTCTAACGTGGAAGGCTTCCGCCGACACGATTTTGTGAGCCCCGCGCAGCCATGATGAAACGAAGATAATCACAAAAGCAAAGTTAACGACTGACCCAACGAACGAAAAATTTGACGAGCAAGACTTCTATCAGAATTAGATTTATTGCCCAAGTGCGGAAAACACACAAGGAATTTACTCGTGTTTATATCTTTTGTTAGATTATTTTTGAAAATCGCGTGACGTCACTATTGACCCGGAAGTGAAAGCCCGACCGAGAAAGAAAACCAGGAACTGTTTGAGTTGACCGGTGCGTTCGTGTTGACATTGTTTTGTGTGCCTTCAACACACGAGCGAAGTTCCTTCCGTTGCTTTCGGGCTCGGTCAGCTCTTTTTTGATTGTTTACACGAGCGGAGGCGTTTGCAGAAAAATAATGTCTCCACGTCGGCTGTGGACATTTTGCGCACAGGTAACACATGCTCGACTTCCAACACGTTTTCTCTGCATGCTCCTCTGGAAGCATATTTCTGTTTATATTCATGGATTTGTCCATCGAAACATCACGTGCACCTGCTGAATCAAATAAGACAATGCACATATTATTTTCTCATTCAAAACGTATTTATTTGACCACCTCTCCAAAACAAAAACAGCTTGAGATGAAGAAAAAATGCATGTTGTATGTTTTCAATGCATTTAAAGGACACTCACTGAACTATGGTCTTCAGATGTAGAGATCTAGATCTAAAGATAGATAGATCCAGATCTATAGATGGATCTAGACTTGTCGATATCTCTATAGATATATCTATCGAGATCTGGAGATTGATCTTTCTCGATATATCTTGATCTACAGATAGATCTAGATGCTGTACATCAATACGGACAGATCTATCGATATCTATATATCGACAAATCTATAGAAGTAGGAGCCCACGTACCCAAATTGGTACTCTAAGGACATCTTACAAATCATTTGCCTTCGTCATATTTCACAAAACATTTTTGAGCAAGTACATCGCTACTCGGTCATATTGGACCTTCCCTGCTGGACCTCTGATAACATCAAACAGTGCCACATTTGTGTGTTTGTTTGTTTTCTAGCGGGTTGCAATAAAAGCTGTGGTGATGAATTTATTTGTGAAAACAAAACAAAATACTTTTTCTGAAGTTACTGATTTATTTACAAGAGTTACAATCGAATGTCTTCGTTTGTATATGTATGATATTCTGCTACCCGGTGACTTGGATTTCCAGATGTGAAATTTCATCTTGTGTTCCTCCAAATAAAACTGAAATAACCAACGATACTGGTGTGTTCGTTTTGTTCAAGTGAGCCTCTCACACACACAAACAAAAAACTAAAGTGTGCATGGGGAACTCCAGTCCGATCAAAGTGTCAAGGAAAAGGGAGAAGCACGAGGTGCTGGGTAAAATACTGCCCTCCTGTGGACGACTGGAGTAACTACACACAGTGAGAAATGGGGTTGACTTCGGACTTCATGATCGAAAAGAATGGTACAAGTCAGTGCCATTAATATAAGACAACGACCTGGAACCGAACCACGACCGTCAATACCAAACTCGTCGTCGTAGACCACTGAACCTGATTGGAGTTAAGAAGTCACATAGATCGTGACGTTTATGGTGTGATACTTAGCTAGTTCTTGAAGAAGGACTCTGAAGTCGCCGAAAAACTCAATCTGTATGGTCAAGTGGTCTAAAAGTTTGCCTCCGGTTCAGCCGACTCGGGTTCGAGACTCAGTGCCGGCAGCAGATTGATGCATAAGTACAGATGAGGAGAAAACGGGACTCGAACACGAGGACCAACGAACCAAAGGCAGTGACTTTAACCACTCGACCATCTTTGGTTTGAAAATTTCCTGTTCTGTGGTCGAGTTCGAGACTCACTGCCGGCGGCAGATGGATGCATAAGTACTGATGAGGAGAAAAGGGGACTCGAACACGAGTACAAACGAACCAAAGGGTAGTGTCTTTAACCACTCGACCATCTTCGGTTTGAAAATTTCCTGTTCTGTGGTCGTATTTATTAGAATTAACAATCACATTGACGTCTCATGGTCATTTCAAATAAGACAAATAGCACATTAAACACCGGAAATAGCAAGAGAGCTTAGCCTAATGGTTAAGCACGAGCGCTGTGGTCCAGCGAGCGCGTGTTCGAGCCTCACCGCAGGCAACTCTTTACTGCCTCGTTTTTTCCTGTCAAAATTGTTTCTTACAATTCTTTTTTTTTTTACTTTGTTCAATAAAGCTTTTGAAAAAAACAGCACGTGATGACGTCGTTAGCGAAAACCTATTTAAGCTGCGACTAATTGAACAAACGGGTCTTTCACCTCCAAGGGGACGCCTTCACGTCGACACGATGACCAAAAGGTTGGACAAACTCGACATTTTAACTGTCTTTTCTGACCTAACTTTTACCAATTTTTAACATTAATTCACCTTTTCAGCCTGTTCAACTCTTCCACGGTAAGTCGCCTGCAATTTTAAATAGCACAATGTTCGATTGAACTAACTGTCGTTTTGCAATTTTCTTTTTCCTTTCCAGCGTGCTGAGAAGGTAAGTTGCCGGCGTTTGACAAACTGAACGTTTAAAGTTTCTTTTTAGTCTCGTCGTTGCTCGCTTTTGTAACTTAACATTAATTCACGTTTTCAGGCTCTTTCACGGTAAGTCGCCTGCAATTTTAAATTATGTTCGATTGAACTAACGTTTTGCAATTTTCTTTTTCCTCAACAGCGTGCTGAGAAGGTAAGTTGCAGGCGTTTGACAAACTGAACGTTTAAATTTTCTATTTCGTCTCGTCGTTGCTAGCTTTTGTAACTTAACATTAATTCACGTTTTCAGGCTGTTACTCTTCCACGGTAAGTCTCCTGCAATTTTGAATGTGGCACGATGTTCGTTTTTTTCTTCTCCTTTCCAGCATGCTGAGAAGGTAGGTTGCTAACGTTTGTATTTCCACAATTTGAATGAGACTCTGCTCTCACCTTGTTGTAACTGTGTCATTTCTGTCCACAGGCTTCCATCTTGAAGTGAATGGCCAAACTGACTCTTACAAAAAGCTTTTGGAGACTTCTTTTAAGAGGGGGCGGGCGGGGGGCTGTTTCCATGAGCTTACCAAATGTCATGTTGCGAACTATTTCTTTCTTTTCAGCCCACCCAGCATGCTGCAGGCCACTGCCAAAGTGTTCAGCTCAGCCCTGCTCTCGTCCCTGGTGAGACAAAAACGCTCATGCGCATACAATAATGCTTATGTCATGTTTTAATGTGTTTCAGCAAATGGTGAGGACCTATTCAGATGGGAACGCGCAACAAACAAATGTCACAAGTTAGTGCTGTACCCGACCTTACTGTTAACTGCACTCTGCAGACTGCTTGAAAAAGCAAGTTGACAGTCTGGCCTCAAGTTGCTGTTTTGCTCCTGGAAGAGACTGAAGGACAGTGTGGACATTGTAAATTACTTGCATTCACTATTCCTGACATTTTATTTCGTGTTTTTGTGCGCAGTTGAACAGCATCTTGACTTCATCCAGCGCTGCCACAGGAACAAGGTAACGGCGAATGAGGCTGGCTTCGAGCATGCTGCAAAACAAAATGGCTGACGTGAACTTTAACAAATTTTTTTCTTTTGCAGTTCCCCCAAAGCTGCACGGAGGCGAGTCTCTCGGGACCACTGGGTTTGAGCACACTACAAAACAAAATGGCTGCTGCAAACTTTTTTAAACCAATTTCTCTTTTGCAGTTCCCCCAAAGCTGCACTGGGACGAGTGTCTCTCAGGGCCATCAAAAAGGTAACTTTACCATTCTGTGCTTGGACACTTACCTTTTTCTTCCTGCTTCTGGCCAACAGGTGGTGCCAAAGCATCTCTTGCCCCCCCCCCCCCCCCCCCCACCCCCGCGCGGCGACGCCCCACAATCTTTTTATCCACTGATGCTGCTGTTGGAAAAGACTGGTTTCAAAAAACTGACTGGTTGTTGTTGCAGGTGGTGGAGGAAACGTTGCGTCATTATAAACGTTCTTTAAGATGACCCAAAATGCTGACAAGCTTTAAAACATTTTTTTTTTGACTGCAGAGAGGCTTCCAGTTAAAGTGCCATGGTGGACTCTGCACCCTGACCACCGAGACGCCAGGCAGAGAAAATTTCTCCATTGCACCTGAAATCTTGACGCACATTAAATAAATCAAAGTCCAATTGAAAGCTTGGCTGGTCCATTGCTTACCTCCTGTTTGTGTTTAGGCTTGTCCACTGTGGAGCCCTAAAAAGCAGTTGCTTTTTTTTTTTTTTTTTTTTTTTTTTTTGCCGGAGGGGGGCAAGCTTTGGGGGGAGGGGAATTGAGAAGTTGGCGCTGGTGGCAGTGGGTTTCATCTCCAACAGAATCCATGCCGAGTGAATGTTGTGACTCGTGTCTTGCTGTTTTCCAGAAGTGATGTCACGCTGCCTAAGGAAACTGTCCGCCTGGGTCTTTTCTCCCCCCGGTCTGCGATGTGACATGCAACCTGCAAGTGAAGTAAACGGTCATGGCGACAAAATGTGGTCGCACGAAATACATTTTTGATTGTGAGGCTCTTTGCTTACTCTGTACCTTGCTTGCTGTACCAGAAATGCACTGTAACTCTGTCCTTTTTTCTTCGGTCAACTTCACCAGGCAGCGACTGTCGTCCAACACTTGGCTTGATCCCATCGGCTTGAACAAGTTCCTCAGTCTGCAGTAAGCGTTGAATGCTCGAAACTCCAGCCTTCTCAATGCCGTCTTTGATCCAATATTGTTTGTTTCCAGGTGCTGAGCCAAACTGTGATTGTCCTGCTCATGCAGCTGTGCGAGCACTTGGTCCGAGTCCCAGAACACCGACGTCTCATCACCCTCTGCTGGTTGGTTTTATCACATCACATCACATTACATTTGCTGCACAAGAAGGTGACTTTGAACTCACCAGTGGCGTTTTTTCTTAGGTCCACATGCTGCTCCACTTCTGCTGCCAGGGGCTGAAGACATCGCCAGGCAGGCAACAAAAAGCAGAAAGCAAAAAAGTCATCTAACTTGTAAGTTGTTTTTTTTCCCTATCCTAACTTGTTTTTTTTTTTTTTTAACCTTTTTTAAACTTTTTTTTTTAAAATTTTTTAAAACTTTTTCTTAACACTTTTTTTTTTCTTAACACTTTTTTTTTTCTTAACACTTTTTTTTTTCTTAACACTTTTTTTTTTCTTAACACTTTTTTTTTTCTTAACACTTTTTTTTTTCTTAACACTTTTTTTTTTCTTAACACTTTTTTTTTCAACTTGTATTCTTTGAAAAAAAAAATAAAAACATAAAAAAACTTGTCTGAACTTTTCTTCACAAATGAAAACATTCCTCCGAAAATAAAAGTGAGCGGGGTGAGGAGGAAGTGGGTGTGGCTATGCAAATCAATGACCAGCAAGCGATCTGATTGGTGGGCTCTCCAATATATGGGTGTGGCAATGCAAATTATGAGGCAGGCATCAATTTGATTGGTTGGTTGGAAGAGTGGGTGGGGTCATGTCAAATTAACATAGGGGGTGTGGTTATGTAAAACGACAGGTATGCAGCTCTCTGATTGGTCGATTTGTTTTAGAATGGGCGGGGTTACGCAAATTTTCCAGCATACTGCATTCTGATTGGCTGAGTGTAAATGGGAGGAGTCATGCTAATTAGCGTGGACTCTGGCTAATTAACATAGTGGGCAGGGTTATGCAAAATGCACAGAACAGAGCTCACCGATTGGTTGATTTGGTTGGCGGTGGGCGTGGTTATGCAAATTAATTTGCATACCGGGTTCTGATTGGCTGGGCCCGAGAGTGGGCGAGGCCGTACCACTCATTAGCATATATTTCGACAGATTAACATAATGGGCGTGGTTATGCAAAACGACCAGTGTGCAGCTCCCTGATTGGTCGGTTTCGGTCGGAGTGGGCGTGGTTATGCAAATTAATTAGCACACTTCGTTCTGATTGGCTGGATTTTGAAATGGGCGGAGTCACGTAAAACATTTGCATAGATCCCGGTAAATTAACATAGTGGGTGTGGTTATGAAAATCATTTGAATTTTTGGGGTGGGCGGGGCTACGCAATTTAATTTTGCATGCCATGTTCTGATTGGTCTTTCCCTTGATGGGCGGGGCTTCTTTTCCCATTTTTCAGGGCCTCGCATGAATGGCAACTGGTTTTCTGGAAGACGTTCGGCCTCTCGTCCGAGCAGACTTCTTCGAATGATGCTCAAGGCCAGAAAGGGCGAGCTGTCCTTTCTGGCGTTTGCGCACGAACCGAGGAAGCCTGCTCGGACGAGACGCCGCACGTCTTCCAGAACAACCCCAACAAGTCCAATTGCCATCCATAACAGGGCCATTTCAAACTCGGTGAGCAACGAAACATGGAGACTCCAATGGAACAATATATTGATTGACAAGCATTTATTTTTTTCAACAATGTCTCATCATTTTACCAACAAAGCTTGACTAAAGTTCCACACCGACACAAACTGACGGGCAGTACATTGAAACCAGCAGCAGAGGACCCCGTGCTGTCTGCTTGAGGAAGCATGGACTGCACAGCACTGACACACGTGGAGGCAGGCAACAACATCACTCACCGCTTCTGAACATGTGCTTTGGAGAAAATGCAATATTTTCAACAATTTGGGAAAGCACAAGTTCAGAAGCGTTGAGTGATGCGTGCGCATGTGTCATCCAGTCCATGAAACTGAGGTGAAAGTGCACTGAAGTGACATCACACACCTCCTCAAGCACAAAAATTGGCGCCCTCCGCTGCTGCTTTCTTGTACAAGCTGTCAGCCAGTGTTGTATGTCTCACTTAAGGCACCCACAAACATTTTGTCGCTGTCATGTGAAAATCACAGATGTCTATTTTTGTCTTTTGAATTATTTTTTTTCGTTCAGACAACCGATCAATGTAAAACATTTGAAATTGACAAAATGGACATCTGTGTTTTTCACAGGACAGCGACAAATTTGTCAAAACCTGCTCCGACTGACCTAAAATTTGAGATTTAGTGTTGTGCCACCACTATCAACAATTGCACCAAGTTTCATTCAAATCAAAATCTGCTTGGTTCAATTTTTGGAGTGATCAAATGCCTTGGTGGCACATCACACACCTCCTCAAGCACAAAAATTGGTGCTTTCCGCTGCTGCTTTCTTGTACAGCCTGTCAGCCAGTGTTGTTTGTCTCACTTAAGTCACACACAAACATTTTGTCGCTGTCGTGAGAAAATCACAGATGTCCATTTTTGTCTTTTGAAAAAATTTTTTTCATTCAGACAACCGATCAATGTAAAACATTTGAAATTGACAAAATGGACATCTGTGTTTTTCACAGGACTGTGACAAATTTGTCAAATCCTGCTTTGACTGACCTAAAATTTGAGATTTAAGTGTTGTGCCACCCCTATCAACAATTGCAGCAAGTTTCTATCAAATCAAAATCTGCTTGGTTCAATTTTTGGAGTGATCAAATGCCTTCGTGGCACCACACACACCTCCTCAAGCAGACAGCAAGCTGTCCTCTGCCTCCAAAAATGCACACACCTTTCCAAAAGCAGGTTTCCATCATTGTAGTGCAGATCCACCCATGTGCTGAACACTTGAGTCTGCGGCAGCAGTGTTCATCCCTCCTCCAGCCTGTCAGGGAAACGAGCGCAGAAGCGACGAGTGAGGTCGTTTGCATACGCGTTGGGCAAATTTGCATAAATCGGCCCGGCTTTGCCAAACAACACCCTCAAAGTATGCCAACACTCGCAATTGCCTGTCACTCATTATGACATTTAATGTTATTTTTATTTTTACGACGGGCCGTCAATTCATTCTTTTCAACAAAAAAGAAGGACTCGCATTATGTCTCGTGAGATTGTGGAAACGAACCGAACGTTTTGGTCTATTCGCACTACCACGCTAAATGGAAGACAATGTTTCTTTTTTAACATTAAAATGTTCTTTTCGAGGGCATCCGGTGAAAACGAGAAAAAGTTAAACATGCCTTACCTTGGCACAAGTCGCCACTTTTTCGCGTAGACTGACAGCAACCGACGTTGAGACAACATTCCTTCTTTGTGGTCGTCTACTGAATATGTAAACAATACAAAAAACGCCTTACTTGGCGCTAACGTCGTTCAACTAACTCAGCTCACGTATTCGAATCGGGCAAAACAACATTAGCAAACAAGACGTCAAGACAAGCTAAGGCTCGTTTCCGTTTCCGGTCCGTGTTTATGTGTTTGGGGGTCGGACATCGAAGACCAACTTGAATGATTTCTTCACGTGGATGAAGACTTGGGCATTGGCAACAATTGAGTTGGGCGATATGGCCGTAGGATGAATAATTTGATGTCTTTCTTCTTCTCGGCAAGATTTAATGCTGGCATTCTCCGTTTGAAATCGCGACGTCGAGTTTTTTTTTTTCCTCGTCGCGGAATTTAAACGCTCACCGGAGGCTGTGGGGGGTTCTTGACGTCACTCTGGGCGACCTTCAGGGAACGGCCAGTCTTCCTGTTTTGTCTCCCTCTGTTGGCCATTTTGTTTATAGTCCTCTGGACTGGTTATACCTGGTAAAGTAAATTCCTTGTGTGTTTTCCACACTTGGGCAATAAATCTAATTCTGATACAAGTCTTACTCGTCTCCTTCTTTTGTCGTTCGGTCAGTCTTTAACTTTGCTTTTGGGATTATCTTCGTTTCAAAATGGCTGCGCGGGGCTCACAAAGTCATGTCAGGCGGGAGCCATCCCCACGTAAGAATTCGTTCCTACGAATAATCATCACTAGAGGGCATACGAACACTAACAGGGAAACAATGGGGAACATCAAAACACCGTTTCAACGTCAATGTCAATTCAAAGAACAAATTCCTAAACGACTTTCATTCACATGACTGTCAACATTTTAATAACACAACAAACGTTCATTGACGTTCAGACTGTTGAGAACACACCCGCACACACAAGCAGTGTTTTGACTTGGACGTTTTCACCCTGGAGAACCCAAGAACCCTTTTCTTCTTTGGAAAAAGATTAATTTTACATTAAATGACTGCTATATGTTCACTGAACACCAAAATATATGTTTTTTTCAAATATTCAATGCTTTAATCCTAATTTAGGATTCGGGCCAAATTTGACCCTTTGGGATTTAAGGGAAGCATTTGAGTAGGAGAATTTATAGGGGCCAAATTTGACACCGTGGGTTCTCCAGGGTTTTAACCAGGCGACGCACAACAAGAGTTCAACTATGGACATTTATCAAGGAATCATTTGTGTCCTGTGGAGACGGTGGACTTGTTTCGCGGGCTGCGATGGCACGCGGGACCTTGTTGACTTCTGGGCTTGTCATCAGGAAACCAAAGAATGTTCAAATCAAAGCCTGCTCATTGTCACTGAAATACAAAACAATTCTTCCAGGAAAGAATAGAAGTGCTGTCATCAACGCACTCACACATTCGTGTTTATCTCACGCCCACAGGCAGGGGATCTCTCGGGACTGCATCAGCATGCCCTTTCAGGTTCACCAACACCAACGACGCCAGGACCCACTGCACAGTTAAGAGCCACAAAACAAAAAAAAATAAAAAAGACGGAATCGTGCTGGGAAAATGTTGAGTACAATGATGTTACTTACAAAATATGTCATCTGAAACGTCAGACAAAAAAAATGTGCATTTTAAAATTTAGTCATAAAAACAAAGTCTCAAACCAGGAAAATATAAAATAATTTTATTGATATTTCACTTCAATTAAAAAAAAAGTAAAACAATGAAAAAAAATTCTCATCAAAAAATCTAAAATAACACTGGTCAAAATCCAATTTTAATCAGATATGGCTTTAGGCATCCCTAAATATATTTTTGACGCTGATTTAAAAAAAAAAAAAGATGCTACTTTTTTTTTTTTTTTGCGAGCAGAACAGGTTCTGGAGATATTTCCATTCTTTGCTTTTAAGCCTTTCATGCAGCAATCATGACAACCTGTAACCTGATAACATTTCGGCTGTCCACTGAAAGGGACCGAGGTTAAAAAAAATGAAGTCAACATTTGTTGGCCAGTGTAATAAAACTACATCATTAAAAAAAAAAAACATGAAACATTATCTGAATATTGTTGAAACATGTACAAGTCAACAAAAACATCAAACATGTCATGAAGACAATGTGCGGCGAGTGAGCGGCGACCTGCGTTCGGCCTTCCGAGCTCTCCTGCACAGTTCCGTCCTGGAGAGAGGCGGGCTGGCGGCAAACAAGCGGAAACTGGCTCCGAACATCTTGATCACGCCAAACGCAATCATCTCCTAGTGGCAAAAACAATTTCAATTTCACGAGCGCGATATGATTTTTTTTTTCTGGGGTGGAGCATAAAACTGGATTCCAATCATGTATGATATTTGTGATTGTGAAAAAGTGTGACAAAATAGTTGAGTTGGATGTTTTTTTTCATGCTAATTAGCGTGGACTCTGGCTAATTAACATAGTGGGCAGGGTTATGCAAAATGCACAGAACAGAGCTCACCGATTGGTTGATTTGGTTGGCGGTGGGCGTGGTTATGCAAATTAATTTGCATACCGGGTTCTGATTGGCTGGGCCCGAGAGTGGGCGAGGCCGTACCACTCATTAGCATATATTTCGACAGATTAACATAATGGGCGTGGTTATGCAAAACGACCAGTGTGCAGCTCCCTGATTGGTCGGTTTCGGTCGGAGTGGGCGTGGTTATGCAAATTAATTAGCACACTTCGTTCTGATTGGCTGGATTTTGAAATGGGCGGAGTCACGTAAAACATTTGCATAGATCCCGGTAAATTAACATAGTGGGTGTGGTTATGAAAATCATTTGAATTTTTGGGGTGGGCGGGGCTACGCAATTTAATTTTGCATGCCATGTTCTGATTGGTCTTTCCCTTGATGGGCGGGGCTTCTTTTCCCATTTTTCAGGGCCTCGCATGAATGGCAACTGGTTTTCTGGAAGACGTTCGGCCTCTCGTCCGAGCAGACTTCTTCGAATGATGCTCAAGGCCAGAAAGGGCGAGCTGTCCTTTCTGGCGTTTGCGCACGAACCGAGGAAGCCTGCTCGGACGAGACGCCGAACGTCTTCCAGAACAACCCCAACAAGTCCAATTGCCATCCATAACAGGGCCATTTCAAACTCGGTGAGCAACGAAACATGGAGACTCCAATGGAACAATATATTGATTGACAAGCATTTATTTTTTTCAACAATGTCTCATCATTTTACCAACAAAGCTTGACTAAAGTTCCACACCGACACAAACTGACGGGCAGTACATTGAAACCAGCAGCAGAGGACCCCGTGCTGTCTGCTTGAGGAAGCATGGACTGCACAGCACTGACACACGTGGAGGCAGGCAACAACATCACTCACCGCTTCTGAACATGTGCTTTGGAGAAAATGCAATATTTTCAACAATTTGGGAAAGCACAAGTTCAGAAGCGTTGAGTGATGCGTGCGCATGTGTCATCCAGTCCATGAAACTGAGGTGAAAGTGCACTGAAGTGACATCACACACCTCCTCAAGCACAAAAATTGGCGCCCTCCGCTGCTGCTTTCTTGTACAAGCTGTCAGCCAGTGTTGTATGTCTCACTTAAGGCACCCACAAACATTTTGTCGCTGTCATGTGAAAATCACAGATGTCTATTTTTGTCTTTTGAATTATTTTTTTTCGTTCAGACAACCGATCAATGTAAAACATTTGAAATTGACAAAATGGACATCTGTGTTTTTCACAGGACAGCGACAAATTTGTCAAAACCTGCTCCGACTGACCTAAAATTTGAGATTTAGTGTTGTGCCACCACTATCAACAATTGCACCAAGTTTCATTCAAATCAAAATCTGCTTGGTTCAATTTTTGGAGTGATCAAATGCCTTGGTGGCACATCACACACCTCCTCAAGCACAAAAATTGGTGCTTTCCGCTGCTGCTTTCTTGTACAGCCTGTCAGCCAGTGTTGTTTGTCTCACTTAAGTCACACACAAACATTTTGTCGCTGTCGTGAGAAAATCACAGATGTCCATTTTTGTCTTTTGAAAAAATTTTTTTCATTCAGACAACCGATCAATGTAAAACATTTGAAATTGACAAAATGGACATCTGTGTTTTTCACAGGACTGTGACAAATTTGTCAAATCCTGCTTTGACTGACCTAAAATTTGAGATTTAAGTGTTGTGCCACCCCTATCAACAATTGCAGCAAGTTTCTATCAAATCAAAATCTGCTTGGTTCAATTTTTGGAGTGATCAAATGCCTTCGTGGCACCACACACACCTCCTCAAGCAGACAGCAAGCTGTCCTCTGCCTCCAAAAATGCACACACCTTTCCAAAAGCAGGTTTCCATCATTGTAGTGCAGATCCACCCATGTGCTGAACACTTGAGTCTGCGGCAGCAGTGTTCATCCCTCCTCCAGCCTGTCAGGGAAACGAACGCAGAAGCGACGAGTGAGGTCATTTGCATACGCGTTGGGCAAATTTGCATAAATCGGCCCGGCTTTGCCAAACAACACCCTCAAAGTATGCCAACACTCGCAATTGCCTGTCACTCATTATGACATTTAATGTTATTTTTATTTTTACGACGGGCCGTCAATTCATTCTTTTCAACAAAAAAGAAGGACTCGCATTATGTCTCGTGAGATTGTGGAAACGAACCGAACGTTTTGGTCTATTCGCACTACCACGCTAAATAGAAGACAATGTTTCTTTTTTAACATTGAAATATTATTTTCGAGGGGCATCCGGTGAAAACGAGAAAAAGTTAAACATGCCTTACCTTGGCACAAGTCGCCACTTTTTCGCGTAGACTGACAGCAACCGACGTTGAGACAACATTCCTTCTTTGTGGTCGTCTACTGAATATGTAAACAATACAAAAAACGCCTTACTTGGCGCTAACGTCGTTCAACTAACTCAGCTCACGTATTCGAATCGGGCAAAACAACATTAGCAAACAAGACGTCAAGACAAGCTAAGGCTCGTTTCCGTTTCCGGTCCGTGTTTATGTGTTTGGGGGTCGGACATCGAAGACCAACTTGAATGATTTCTTCACGTGGATGAAGACTTGGGCATTGGCAACAATTGAGTTGGGCGATATGGCCGTAGGATGAATAATTTGATGTCTTTCTTCTTCTCGGCAAGATTTAATGCTGGCATTCTCCGTTTGAAATCGCGACGTCGAGTTTTTTTTTTTCCTCGTCGCGGAATTTAAACGCTCACCGGAGGCTGTGGGGGGTTCTTGACGTCACTCTGGGCGACCTTCAGGGAACGGCCAGTCTTCCTGTTTTGTCTCCCTCTGTTGGCCATTTTGTTTATAGTCCTCTGGACTGGTTATACCTGGTAAAGTAAATTCCTTGTGTGTTTTCCACACTTGGGCAATAAATCTAATTCTGATACAAGTCTTACTCGTCTCCTTCTTTTGTCGTTCGGTCAGTCTTTAACTTTGCTTTTGGGATTATCTTCGTTTCAAAATGGCTGCGCGGGGCTCACAAAGTCATGTCAGGCGGGAGCCATCCCCACGTAAGAATTCGTTCCTACGAATAATCATCACTAGAGGGCATACGAACACTAACAGGGAAACAATGGGGAACATCAAAACACCGTTTCAACGTCAATGTCAATTCAAAGAACAAATTCCTAAACGACTTTCATTCACATGACTGTCAACATTTTAATAACACAACAAACGTTCATTGACGTTCAGACTGTTGAGAACACACCCGCACACACAAGCAGTGTTTTGACTTGGACGTTTTCACCCTGGAGAACCCAAGAACCCTTTTCTTCTTTGGAAAAAGATTAATTTTACATTAAATGACTGCTATATGTTCACTGAACACCAAAATATATGTTTTTTTCAAATATTCAATGCTTTAATCCTAATTTAGGATTCGGGCCAAATTTGACCCTTTGGGATTTAAGGGAAGCATTTGAGTAGGAGAATTTATAGGGGCCAAATTTGACACCGTGGGTTCTCCAGGGTTTTAACCAGGCGACGCACAACAAGAGTTCAACTATGGACATTTATCAAGGAATCATTTGTGTCCTGTGGAGACGGTGGACTTGTTTCGCGGGCTGCGATGGCACGCGGGACCTTGTTGACTTCTGGGCTTGTCATCAGGAAACCAAAAAATGTTCAAATCAAAGCCTGCTCATTGTCACTGAAATACAAAACAATTCTTCCAGGAAAGAATAGAAGTGCTGTCATCAACGCACTCACACATTCGTGTTTATCTCACGCCCACAGGCAGGGGATCTCTCGGGACTGCATCAGCATGCCCTTTCAGGTTCACCAACACCAACGACGCCAGGACCCACTGCACAGTTAAGAGCCACAAAACAAAAAAAAATAAAAAAGACGGAATCGTGCTGGGAAAATGTTGAGTACAATGATGTTACTTACAAAATATGTCATCTGAAACGTCAGACAAAAAAAATGTGCATTTTAAAATTTAGTCATAAAAACAAAGTCTCAAACCAGGAAAATATAAAATAATTTTATTGATATTTCACTTCAATTAAAAAAAAAGTAAAACAATGAAAAAAAATTCTCATCAAAAAATCTAAAATAACACTGGTCAAAATCCAATTTTAATCAGATATGGCTTTAGGCATCCCTAAATATATTTTTGACGCTGATTTAAAAAAAAAAAAGATGCTACTTTTTTTTTTTTGCGAGCAGAACAGGTTCTGGAGATATTTCCATTCTTTGCTTTTAAGCCTTTCATGCAGCAATCATGACAACCTGTAACCTGATAACATTTCGGCTGTCCACTGAAAGGGACCGAGGTTAAAAAAATGAAGTCAAAATTTGTTGGCCAGTGTAATAAAACTACATCATTAAAAAAAAAAAACATGAAACATTATCTGAATATTGTTGAAACATGTACAAGTCAACAAAAACATCAAACATGTCATGAAGACAATGTGCGGCGAGTGAGCGGCGACCTGCGTTCGGCCTTCCGAGCTCTCCTGCACAGCCGTCCGTCCTGGAGAGAGGCGGGCTGGCAGCAAACAAGCGGAAACCGGCTCCGAACATCTTGCTCACGCCAAACGCAATCATCTCCTAGTAGCAAAAACAATTTCAATTTCACGAGCGCGATATGATTTTTTTTTTCTGGGGTGGAGCATAAAACTGGATTCCAATCATGTATGATATTTGTGATTGTGAAAAAGTGTGACAAAATAGTTGAGTTGGATGTTTTTTTTCCAGTCAGTTAGATAAAGGTGTGTTAATTTATATTTTTGAAAGTACGTTCAAAAAAATCATCTCCATTTATGACGGAGAGAGCGTCGGAATGTGATTGACTAAGACCTTTTTCTCAATAAGTCCCTTCACATTATATTTCACATATTACACTGCCAGACGAAAGCACTTTAAAAAAGTCCTATTATGGTACATCCAAAATTCTCTCCAAAGCTTTATATATTTCGTTCTAGATTTCACTTGCCCACAAGGTCGGATTCAACCCGCATAGTGTATCATCAACCTCGTCATCCATGCTAGTAAATCAGTGTGTTTATTTGATTTTCTTCGAAGCTAGCGTTCAGGTTACTTGCCAGGCGGAAGAATTTTTCGAATCTCTGGATTCATTTGTCCCACTGCTACGGTTCTGAAACGTCAAAGGGCTCCGGTGGCTGGATGTGGCACGCGGTCGCGCGGTGACGGCTGGTCCCGCAGCCCGCTGTGCGCCCGGCGCCGCGGCTCCTTCGTCTCCGTCGCCCATTCCCTCTTGCCCGTCGTGCGCAAAAGATCCTCCTCACGCATTCCAAGTCAACGGGACTTCTAACACCATGTCATGTTCTCGAATGAGGCGCACACGAGTCCAACAGTTTTGTTGACGTGAAGAAACTTCATTTTATTTCCCCGTCGCATGTTCGCAGTGTCTCCAGTCTCTCCTCTCGCTCCCGACGCACACGTGTGACGCCATCGCAAAGCGACTCTGTAGTCCGTCGTACACGAATACGCCAGTGTGGAAATGCGTAAAAATAACTGAAAGGGACCGACGGAAAGAACAGGTACAAACAGTTGCTTATTTGTGTTTTTGTGTAAATCGGTCTCTCTCTCACGTGAGTGACGCATATGAACGAAAATAAAACGTCCTCCTCGCTGCGACGCGAAACTTAAATGCGACCCGGAACCGGAAACTAGCCTTTGCTTGCCTTGAGGTCTTGTTTGCTATTTTTGTTTTGCCCGATTCGAACACGTTAGCTTCGTTATCTTAGCTCCGTTAGCGCTAAGTTAGGCATTTTTTTTGTATTGTTTACGTGCGCAGTCGACGATCACAACGAAGGAATGTTGCCTCCACGTCGGTTGCTGAAAAAGTGGCGACCTGTAGTGCAAAGGTAAGGCATGCTCAACCTTTCCTCGTTTTCACCGGATGCCTCTCGCAAAGAACATTTGAATGTTAAAAACAGAAACATTGTCTTCTATTTGGCGTGGTAGTGCGAATAGATCAAAATGTTTGGTCCGTTTACACAATCTAACGAGACAAAATGCGACTCTTTCTTTTTTGTTAAAAATAATGAACAGACGGCCCGTCGTAAAAATAAAAATAACATTAAATGTCATAATGAGTGACAGGCAATTGCGAGTGTTGGCATACTTTGAGGGTGTTGTTTGGCAAAGCCGGGCCGATTTATGCAAATTTGCCCAACGCGTATGCAAATGACCTCACTCGTCGCTTCTGCGTTCGTTTCCCTGACAGGCTGGAGGAGGGATGAACACTGCTGCCGCAGACTCAAGTGTTCAGCACATGGGTGGATCTGCACTACAATGATGGAAACCTGCTTTTGGAAAGGTGTGTGCATTTTTGGAGGCAGAGGACAGCTTGCTGTCTGCTTGAGGAGGTGTGTGTGGTGCCAGGAAGGCATTTGATCACTCAAAAAATTGAACCAAGCAGATTTTGATTTGATTGAAACAAAAAATTTAACCAAGCAGATTTTGATTTGAATGAAACTTGGTGCAATTGTTGATAGTGGTGGCACAACACTTAAATCTCAAATTTTAGGTCAGTCGGAGCAGGATTTCACAAATTTGTCGCTGTCCTGTGAAAAACACAGCTGTCCATTTTGTCATTTTCAAATGTTTTACATTGACCGGTTGTCTGAACGAAAAAAAAAATTCAAAAGACAAGGATCGGTTGTCTGAACGACAAAAAAAATTTCAAAAGACAAAAATGGACATCTGTGATTTCACACGACAGCGACAAAATGTTTGTGTGTGACTTGAGTGACACATACAACACTGGCTGACAGGCTGTACAAGAAAGCAGCAGCGGAAAGCACCAATTTTTGTGCTGGAGGAGGTGTGTGATGTGCCACTAAGGCATTTCATCACTCAAAAAACTGAACCAAGCAGATTTTGATTTGAATGAAACTTGGTGCAATTGCTGATAGTGGTGGCACAACACAAAAATCTCAAATTTTAGGTCAGTCGGAGCAGGTTTTGACAAATTTGTCGCTGTCCTGTGAAAAACACAGATGTCCATTTTGTCAATTTCAAATGTTTTACATTGATCGGTTGTCTGAACGAAAAAAAAATAATTCAAAAGACAAAAAT